CATGACCTCGGATGACCTGAGTGGGACGCTGGAACAGGTGAGGGAGCTGAAGCGGCAGGAACTGTGCTGGAGGCGGCCACTGCGCGCCCTTTATACCGGCCCCGCCGCACGCCCACGCCCACGCCCTTGCGACGCTCGCCGGACGGAAAAGAATCCTATGTTGTCGGAAGGACTGGAAATTAGCTCTAAAATGTTCATCAGCGGGATATGGCAGATAAATATAATGCACACACACACATACGATAATTTAGGTCACCCCAGGTATGAAGCGGAGGGTTAGCACTAAACCAACAGTACTACACGACCCACTTAAAGGAATGTACTTCTAGGATCTAACAAGCTGCATAGACATTACCCGTCTACTCATACATGAGTAATGATAGCGAGGTTTCGCATACACTCCTCGTGGGTACTCGCTGGAAATTGATTTAGGAATTCGAAACCCTGACTAGGACTCGAATGTGTGCATATATCTATCTATCTATCTATATATATATATATATATATATATATTATATATATAATCATATATATATACATTATATATATATACATTATATATATATATATATATATATATATATATATTATATATATACATTATACATATATATACATTATATATGTATATATATTTTTTTCTAACAGCCATTCATTCCACTGCAGGACATAGGCCTCTCTCAATTCACTATTGAGAGATTATATGGCAGTGCCACCGTTGCCTGATTGGATGCCCTTCTTAATCAACCGCGGTTCGTCGCGCTAACACCTGTGCCACGGCGGCGACTTCCCCTACGACACCTGCGTTTGACTTCTCAAGGCGGTATGTCGTTTTCTCGGGCTCGAACCAGCAGTCAGAACGCAGGCAGTTTTACGACCGCCGCGACGGGGAATTGAACTCGGAACCACGAGTGGACCATCGCGCCAGTGTGTATATATATATATATATTTAACCCAATGCCGACGGGAATGACGCGTACGTGTATGCCATGCCAACTGTGACTTTACTTGTTTGATTGTTTTAACAGATAGATGGCTACACTTGTACTAAGTCACCAATGAGTCAATTATGAGTACTGCCTGCCTCACCCGTTCACCCTTTTCTTTAATTTACAAAAATATTCTACGTTATCTTATTTTCTTGTTACTAACGTTTATAACATTATAGTAATTATAATGTTTATAATGAAAATAACACCACCGATATTCATAGCACTAGTAAAAAATTACGTTTTTCCCGCCAATTCAAATCAGGTAAGGTCACACGGTCAGTTAATTGACTCGTTTGTGGCTAAGCACTAGCAGAGCACTAAGCACTGTGCAGACATTTCACAAAAAATATATAAAATGAGTACAGCATTTTCCGCATTTTTTGTTCCTATTCCCCGGCGGCGATGGAATATATATACACACTCACACACACACACACACACACACACACACACGCACGCACACGCACACACACACGCACACACACACGCGCGCACACACACATATATATGTGTGTGTGTGTGTGTGTGTGAATATATATGTACATATATATATCTATATATACATACATATATATATACATATGCGTATATATATGTATATATGTATATGTACATTGTGTGTATATACATACATACACACACACATATATATATATATATATATATATATATTCATTCATTTACTCATCCATTCATTCATTCAGTTATTGGGATTTTTTTTTTCATATCGCCTATACTGTGACACTACCAATGGATTTCTGTAGTTTCCGATGCCGTTCTCTTCTCAATAACGCTTGCATTCAACATCAACATACTTAGCTTCCCAAAAATTTCTCTGCTATCATTATTCATACGTTTTGTAAAACTACAGAGCAGAGAACCATCATAGGAACGACTGAAACAATTAAAAAAGAACAGTCAACCACAACAGACAGAAATTATAACGCGGTTGTGACGTTCGAGCGACGAAATCGATGGCGCTTCGTAATTGTTGGTTGTTAGAGGATGAAAATAATGCTGGCAATTGTAACAAATAACATGAATAATACTAGCCATAATATAGTGAAGTGATAATAACTATAACCATAATAATAATGATGATGATGGGGATGATGATAATGATAATAATGATAACAATGATGATGATAATAGTAATAATAATAATAATAATAATGATAATGATAATAATGATAATGGTAATAGTAATAACTATAATGATGATAATAATGATAGTAATTATAATTATCATAATAGTAATAATAATAATGATAATGATAAATTTTATGTTTATCATATTCTTACTTATAAATTAGATCTAACGTTAATCTTGGCAGTTCATCGCCGAAGGATATTTACATGGCACTGTGGCAGTTCTCCGCGACTGGTAGGAACCCCTGGAAGACAGCAGGGCAAGGGCGTGGGCGTGGGCGTGGTGCGTGCGGCGGGGCCGGTATAAAGGGCGCGCAGTGGCCGCCTCCAGCACAGTTCCTGCCGCTTCAGCTCCCTCA